CTAGGTATCTACCCAAAAGACACAAAAACACTGATTCAAAAAGACACCTGAATCCCCATATTTATTGCTGCTTTATTTATAATTGGAAAGACATGGAAACAGTCCAAATGCCCAAAAGTAGATGACTGGATTAAAAAGATGTGGTACATATACACAATGGAATATTACTCAACAACCAAAAAAAATAAACACATGCCTTTTGCAGCAACATGGATGGAGCTGGAGAAGATCATGCTTAGTGAAATAAGCCAGAAAGAAAAGGAAAAATACTGGACGGTTTCACTCATAGCAGGAGTATAACAGACCAGGCGAGAAAGTAAATGAACAACTGTATACCAGAGACATTTTATGGAGGTGGGGTGGGGAATGGGATCAAAACAGTGGGGGGGAGGGAAATGCACTGGACTATGGTGATGGTACATGGGTGATTTGGTGATGGGAAGCCCAAGGGGATTGCAACTATTATTTTAAACATATTATTAAAAAAATAAACATATTATTTAAAAAAAAATTTTCATCTTTGACTTCAGAATCTCATTCTTAGGAATGTATCCCAAGGAATTAATTAAACACAAACTAAAAACTTCATGTGTCACCTCTAAGGTTAAAAAGAATTAGAAACAATCTAGATATCTAATAAAAAAGATGCATAAATCATTACCTGAGCAATATTATATAGCCATTACAAAGACCATTATCTAAGCTGTAGAATCGCTGGGATGTGTTTATGATCTCATAATTTATGAAAAAGGCAATAGACATATATTTATGGTCACACCACAACTATATAAAAATAGACTACATACGGCTGGGGGAAAACATGCAAATATGAAAGTACTGTGAAAGAGCAGAGATCATGGTCACTGTTTTTCTTGTTTCTTAGAAGTTGCTCCCCTGTGAAGAGCCATGCTCTCTCCCTGCTCTCGACGCTCCTTGTTACAGGGCAACCCCGACATGAATGGGCTGCCTGGCTGGGAGGCTCTGCTTTAAGGCGGTCCACAGAAAGGGACTCATAATAAGACTCAACTGGAAGAACACACCAAAAGGTGAACGAGGGACTTATTTACAAAAGAAATAAAGAAATGAATAACTCAGGGAGAAAGCAAGCATGTACATTGGTGAATGCGCCCCACCAGTTCGGCTGAGCTGGAACCCCAACAGCACAGCGAAAAGCCACGGCCCACGTGTCCAGTTACACATCAAACCTGGCTGCTTAACTCCACCCTCAGTTCCCAGCCGCTTCCCAGTGATGATGACATTATGGGATATAGGCTTCGGCCTCTTGGATCTCTTTGGTCTGGAGTGGAAGGTGGAGGCCACAAACTTGTGTTTGTGGAGATCATACAGGCCATCCTCTCCCCCAGCATCCTGACTAATCAGGTGTCCCTGTGGACACAGGACAAGCCCTCCTCACATGCTCTGGGGGCACCCTGCCCGGCCGGCAGGAGCCCTGACTCGGCACAGCATCTCTGGGCAGGTCCAGAAACTCCCTGTCCCCAGCGGAGAGACCAGGAGTCCCCATCAGCTGGGGAGGATAATTCATCTAGAACAACATCAAAGAGGTGACTCAGGAGAGAATAAGTAATTCAGAGAGATCTACACTGCCTGTGAGTTCACCTGACCCAGTTGTTGTTGCTGGACACCAGAGCGGCACTATCTCAAGAGAAGCTCATCTCACTCCAAATCAACCAGCATTTTTGAGCATCTCCTTTGCATAAAACACGGAAGAGGATGGGACAGGGCTGTGGCTACAAGAAGTTTGAATCCCAGCATGGGGTTTGGGGGTGAAGGCCCTCTGCAGACAAAGAGGATTATGCTGGGGGAAGACCTTTGGAAAGACCTGGAAACCAGTGCTATAAATGCAAGTGAAGGAAGAGATTATGCCCTGCTGAAAGGGCCCTGTACCTGGTCTTGAAGGCAGGATGGTGTCAGAGGTGGTGCCTGGAGGAGGCATTTCAGGCTGGGCAGCCAGTGGGTGTGCAAGTTCCAGGTAGGCTGGGCAGCTTCAAGGGACACTGTGAGGGCAGCACGAGAGGAAGTGGGAAGGGAGGCGGGATGTGGACAGGGGCCACCCAGCTGCACTGCTGCCGCTTTACTGGGAGCTGAGACGGGTGTTTTAGGCTGCAAGGCAGACCCACGCACACCCGCGCCTGCTGAGGCGTGACGTACAATCAGCTGTGGCTGGGCACAGATGATGAGGGCAGCGTCCTGTGCCACCCGGGTGCCGCCTTTTCAGTGCTCCCTGGGTGCCGGAGCTCAACCACGGTGGCCTCCCGTGTAGGTCTGTGCTCCCGCTCTATAGGTTCGGGCCCTGATTCTCCATCCAGGGGGATTAAGTGGATTAGATGAGACACGGATGCATGAGTGCCTGACCCAGAACCCAGTTCCCAGCGGCCCTCATGGAATGTCGGTTTCCTGCTTTTTCCACCTCATCGGCTTCCTTCACGCTCTTTTGGATTTTCAGAGCCTCTGCTCTTTGGCAGCTTCCCAGGTAGCTTTCAGCTGCCAGAAAAAGTCAGAGACACGGCACCTTTGCCTTCTAGTGGTGAAGCAAACCCATTGCAGGTGCACGCCAGAACTCACACGTGCCTACCTTACCAGCTTATAAATCAACTTACAAATGCATTTCTGAGTCATCGCTGATCTATCACTGTACTGGTATCTATTGCTTATTGTTCATGATTAAATATCACATAGAATAATTAGAAGACACTTAACTATATCCCATTCATTTGACTTGACTGATTACCTGCAACACTAAACCTGTGTATTGAGCTTCATGGTGGTCTGCTTATAAATGTAAAAGAGTTGATGGAGCAACTCCAGCAAGTGGTCACCCACCGGCAGGGCGGTCTGGACTTCATCTGGAATGATAGAACATTCCAGACCAGAACACAGTGGAGATCTGGAAAGGTCTCATTATGGGGATGAGCCTAGAAGGACCTGTGTTGGCAGATGTCACTTCAGGCATCCATCCAGCAAGCCCCCCAGCCGCCAGGTCACTAGGACAATGGCCAGAGTGCCCAGATTGGACCCCACGTCCACATTCTGCCTGTTACAAAGCTGTAAGCCAGTCTTTGGGCCTATACAGGATTGGGGGAACCAAGAGGAAACCCTGAATCCTGGGGCCCAGGCAGGGTACACTGGTAGGGACCCAGCTACAGCATCGGATACAGGACCCAGCCAGGAACAGCCTCGATTCCTGCTCCGAGCCCATCCCAGCACAGCTTGTTGACAGCTGTCACGTGGGAGTAACCGGCTCACCTTTCACACCGCTCATTCCCAGGTCACTCCAGCAAGAGGTGGGACTAAGGGGCTTTACCTCAGTTCTGCATCCTGAGGTGATTCCATCACTGATGTTTGAGTAGCACAGAGCTGGGTAACTAAAGCCCCCGACCAGCGGCCGGATGGTGCCATGTGCTTGGGCTCTGGCTGTGAGGTGGGGTGCTGGGAGAGCAGGACTTCTGTGCACTGTCTGCTCTCAGCCCCAGCGGAGATGCCAGGACAGTCTTGGGGCCCACAGAAGTTTTGCCAGGCGGTGACTACTGGGCTCAGGTTTTCGGAGTCAAGTGGGCAGCATTTGAGCCACCCAGCATTGCAGATGAGACAGGCCGCCTCAGTGCTTTTCTCTCCATGAGTTTTTTTTTTTTAATCACTTGGTTTATTCCTTTGTTTCCCTCAAATTTGTTTTAAAGCTTTTACTCATTTATGCATACAGAAATGGGGTACTGGCTAGAGGTGCAGGGGCGGTGAAAGGATTCACCAGAGACAGAGTGGGGAGCAGAACAGCAGATCAACTGAAATACGCTGCTGAGGGGAGCAGCGGGAGGGTTAGGAGAGGTCTGCGGTGCCATGTGGGTCACCCCCTGGGGTGGGGATCGAACTTGCACTGAAGCGGCCATGGCTTGGCTTAGCTTCGCAGTGCAGCGCTCCAACCTGCTGTGCCAGCGGCCGGACGGGGGGGGCAGTTTTTCTTTTTTAAGGGTCAGCCTCTGATAAAATAGTGGCCTGTGCTGGATGCTTGAGCGCAACTCTGCCCCCGAGCTGTGTTGCCCTCCCATGTCAGACCCCCTCCCTCTGGCACCCCGGTGGAGTATCACTGGCCCTTCTTCAACTGAATGACTTCCCCTGCAAACACCTATATAGAGAGCTTTTACGTCATCTGTTGATATACATCAACTCCATTAATTAGGCAGCCATTAAAATTATTATTAAAATTATTAAGATTGTATAGAAACTTAGGGAAATATTTCTAAATGTTATCAAATAGTATATTATTAAGTAAACAACTACATCATTGCAGCTCTACAAATGTGGAAAAACAAAACAATATAAAAGGGTCCAAGAATTTTTGTGTCTTAAAAATCTTTAATGGCCCTTCCTGGTGGTGCGACGGGTTATAGCACAGCACGATGAAGCTGTCACAGCCACTGCACACGAGTTCTATCTCCATCCAGGGCGCTGACCCACATGCTCCCCACACCCGCCCGCTGCTCCTCTCCGTGTATTTTGTCCATCTGCCTGTTCTGCTTCCCACTGTCTCTGGTGAATCTTCTCACCCACCTCCCCACTCCTCTGACCTGTGCCCCAGCTCTGTATGCATAAATTTTAAAAATCTTAAAAAAAAACTCTTTAAAATGTGTATGCTGTTAGTTTTTAAAAGCCCCTCTCTACTGTCCTTACTCTCCTCTGAATTACAAGATGGTGAGCCATACCCAGAAGTGAAACCTACTAACATAGAATGGTAGGAAAGTGCTGAATTTCACTGACCTTGAAGGGTCAGGGTCCTCGTGAAGCCACACGGATCGCTGGCTGGCTGGCAGCTTTAGCTCAGCCAGTTCTGGCAGCCAGAGCCAGTTACTGTTTAAACAGCTTGTTAATGGCGAACACAGATGCTGGGGCCCTTTGGCAGCTGCTAAGGCAGCAGGCTGGGGTGCTTGGCACCTCCGAGAGACAGTGTCTGGGCTCAGTGGTGAGAGGGGTTCAAACTGACTGTTTACCTGGGCGGCTTCTGGTTGATTGCTTCTTTCCATGCTCTACTTCAGAGGCAGGTTTCTAGCCTCTGCCTCTGCTGGATGGCATGAGAAGTAAAGTGGAGAGCGCAGACTTCCTTTCACAGCAGTGAGGTGAGAGGAGCTGTGATAATGCCTATAAATACCCGGATGGGAAGGGGAGGGCAGCCACTCGGGGAGCTGCAAACACGCGGAGCTCTGTGCAAGGGGGCGCAGACGGAAGCAGGTCTGCATGCCAAGCTTTCCGCAGGGACAGGGGACCACAGCGAGACGGCAGAATCATCTTCGGGGAAAGAGGGCAGAAAGGAATGTCAGCTCCGGAGCCTTGGGGACACATTTGGAGAGCTTTGGGGTGGGGTCTGCAGGGGATGCTTGCAACTGGACAGGTGTTAGCACCACAGTGATGTTCGTATGAGGAAGAGAGTGGGGAGAAGGTAAAGAAAAGCATCTTTTTATAGGGAAACTGGCAGTGCAGCCTCATCATGACACTTCTCTGTCCTGTCTTCAGCTCCCCCGGCCCCAGTCCTAACGGGAACACTCTACCCCTCGGTTCATTCTCCCCATGGGTCTTAAAATGGCTCTGTAAAATGGAGGTGACTAAACAAAAAACTGCTGCTGACAGGTAAAACTTGAAGCAGTGGGGCCCTGAAATAAAAACTGCAAATTTTGCTACTGTCCTAAGATTATAAGATTTGTTGAGAATACTTCCTCTAGGGCAGCATCTATAATTTGGGTGTTAACAAGTATGCAAAGGGATTAGGCTTTGCAGGGGCAGCTCCTTGGGAAAACACAACCTAGGCTGAAGAACTGAACACAAACGAAGAGAGAAAGTTGATATATAATGTCTTTTTCTTAACATTTATCTTTTTATGGGCCCTCCCTGGTGGCACAACTGGTTGAGGTGCAGCACTATGTGTGCATAAATAAATATTTTTTTTAAGATTTATTTATTTATTTGTGCATACAGAACTGGGGTACAGGCTAGAGGCTCAGGGGCGGCGAGAGGATTCACCAGAGACAGAGTGGGGAGCAGAACAGGCAGATTGGCAAAGCACACTGCTGAGGGGAGCAGCAGGAGGGTCAGGAGAGGTCTGCCTCGCCATGTGGTCACCTCCGGGGCAGGCGGGGTTCGAACTCATGCAGAAGTGGCTTTAGCTTCTCAGTGCTGTGCTTTAACCCGCTGCGCCACCAGGGAGGGCCTAACTAAATAATTTTTAAAATATTATATTTATTTATGCATACAGGAACTGCGGTACAGATCAGAGATGTGAGGAGCTGAGAGGATTCACCAGAGACAGAGTGGGGAGCACAACAGACAGATCGACTGAAACAGACTGCTGAGGGGGCAGCGGACGAGACAGGAGAGGTCTGCTGCGCCATTTGTGGATCAGCTCCTGGCCGGGAATTAAACTCAGGCCACAGTGGCTGGTGACTGCTTGATAGTGCTGAGACTTAACCCCTGTGCCACCAGGTAGACTCCCAACAGTGAAATAATTCTAAAGGACCTAACATAAATCTAAACCACTGAGAATGAAAGCCTGGTCAAATGGGGCTGTGGGCAAGGAGACGTCCACACAGAGGCTAGCAGTCACAGGCTCCAGGGAGTAGGATATGGACATTTGGGGGGTGGGGGTGGGGATAGAACAAGCTAAAGGTGAAAGTGTTCACCGGAACAAAAAAATGGTACCATTTCCAAATTCTGTTACCTGAAATCCCTAGCCTTCTTAGCTATTACAGCAAACCGATGGCACAGCTGTCTCATTGATGGAGTATGTGGTATTATTTAAGACTTCTGGGGAAAAAAAGTAATATAAGCCAAAGCCAGTCCATTGAAAAAATAAAAAATAATAGTTTAAGAAGTATGTGTTACTCTGAAAAGAGAGAATCATGCATTTAGGGTTCACACTCTATCAAGAACTCTGAGGGAGGATGTCATTTCAATGTTCTTCAGAATATTAAAGAGAATAATATGCAACACTAATGCACATGCTTACTGCTCATTTCAGAGATATGATTGTCCCCATCGGGAATTACCTAACTTGTGTATGCACGGTTCTCCCCATCAGACACCCCCAACTGGAAGGTCAGTGCCAGGAAAGGACCCTATGTGTGTTATATCCTCTGGTCTTGAGCTGAGAACATCATTAAATATCAATAAATATCTGAAAATATTTCAAATACATGTCTATGCTACTAACTCCATGCATTAAAAAACAAATGAAAATGAAGAACCTCATATCTGAGTTTCTCCGCATCTGTAGACCTTGATTAATGTGCTAGGAGGAAATAACTTCAGTACTTTACTATGTAACATATGAGGCGGGAGCTATTATAGGATCATATATCACTTTTCCTGCAGGACTGAACGAACACAGTCTGGTGTCAGGTGATGAGCACAGGGCAGCGTCCTGCCTGTGCCCAGCCTGCACCTGATCTGGCCACAGGGGTCACCACAGGAGACCCCGCCCTTGGCGCACATCTGGGCTGGGGGTGGGGCAGACTGTGGACTTAGTTTCTTTTTCCTTGGCTTCCAGGTACATCTCCCAGAGCAGACCCTGACTCCTCCCTGTTACAGACTCCCAGGAAGGCGGGGCTGCTGGGCCTGCTCCTACCTGATGGCAGCTCTGGGTTCCAGCCTTTCCTGCCAGAAATTTGGCTGTAAGGGCACTACAAATGGCCCCGTCCTCGGTGCCTGGAACCAGTGGACGCTCGGTCTGTTCTGTCTGGCATCCCTCACAGGTGCACAGGAACAGCCAAACTGGTGACCCCGCAGCTGTCCAACCATAACATCTTTCAACTGGTGAGAGCTTGCAAAGCTGAAAAGGATAGATGTGAGGCTCACTGGCTCCCCTTGGGCCCGCTGACTTATTTCCTTGCCAACGTTGCAGGGCATTTTACTTGCACGCTCCCCGACACTATGCCTTTCCCAGCGGGGTTTTGGCAAACTGCTGAGATCTACCCCCCCCCCCCCCCCCGTGCCCCGTGTCCTCTCCCCCCCACCGCAGCTTATCTGACATCAGGTGTCCTGCTGTGTAGGAGGCAGCGTCCACCCAGGAGTCCTGTCCACCGGAGAGGTGGGGTGAGCAGCTCCCTGGGCTTTGCTTGACCTTGTTCAACTCTGCAACAGATGCTGTTTTTTTCCTTCTGTCTGTTCTTGCCAGGCTGGTCCAGTCCTGCCTGCTTTTCAGGCTGCTGCACTTTGCTTGGCATAGCCTGGAGGCGGTTGGCTTCCCACCAGGTCCTGTTCATCTGCCCAAGCCCTCAGACACGAGGCCCACCCCAATCCCTGAGGGAATAGTAGCGAGCTGGATGCCAGAGGTCACAGCTCCCCTCTGAAGAGGGCGTGTGGGGACTGCACCCAGCCAGCCGCACCTGGCTGGCTCAAATCCTGACAGCACTGTGACCCGGCAAGGTCGTGCTTCCTCTCAGGCCTCAGTCTCATTTGCACCACGGAGATGGCATGGTGAAACCCGCCACAGGGAAAAGTGGGGCAAAGAGGTTATTCTTGCAAAATACCAGGCACATTTTTGAGGCACTAATGAAATGACTTGGCTTTTCAGTGTTCTGGCTCCATGGGCCCACATCTTTCCGGTCTCAGCTGAGTTTTGGTGCGAGCTGGGCACTGCTGGCTCTGGTTCCTGGGCACAGCAGTAATTCCAGGAATTCCTAGTTATGGAAAAACTGAGACCCTGGTATCTTTTGGATGCAGGACATTTGGCCAGACGAGCACTGTGGACACAGGTCTCAGCCCTAACGTCCTTCCACTCGAGCCCTGGAGAACTGAGCTCTTCCTTTTGAGAATAGCCTGGGACAGGACCTGGACTAGAAGCCAAATAACGAGGGTGTGATGCTATGAGTTTCCTTTATTGAAGTTTAACGCTGGTCCTGTCACTGTTGTGAAGACTAGGGATAATACCTGTACTATTTGCTCATGAGATGTTGCATTCATCACACATTTTCCCAAGCACTTATTATGTCCTATGTCCTAGGCATTACCAGGGGCCCTAGAACTATGGCAGCAAATAAAAATACCACAACAAATGTTGTTACTGCCCACGTGAAGCTTAAGCTATCATGAACTTAACTTTTCTTAAATGCTTTTAAACATTTAAGATCATATATTTTGGGGCTCCCTGGTGGTTCAAGGGAGTCTCAGCACTATGAAGCTATCCCCAGCCAGGGAGTGGACCCACATGGTGCAGCTCTCCTGCTGCTCCTCCCCTCAACAGTGTTTCAGTAGATCTTCCCTTCTGCTCCCCACTCTGTCAGGTGACTCCTCTCACCCCTGCACCGCTGGCCTATATCCCAGTTCTTATATGCATTAATAAATATTTTTTTAAAAAAAATCATATATTTTGGGGCAGAATATTCCATCCTCTTCTCTGAAGGTGTGGTTTTTAATAGGGGGTCAGTTTTGCTGCCATTGGGACATTTGGCCATGTCTGGAGACATTTTTTGTTGTCATAGCTGGGCTGGGAAGCATGCCGCTGGCTTCCAGGAGGCAGAGGCAAGGGGTGTTGCTCAAAATCCCTTCATGCACAGGACAACCCACAATGGACTCACTTGGCCTGAAATTTCATTGCCATAGCAATGCCCCTGGTCAGAGGGCACAGGCTTAGGCCACAGTTAGCTTTTTTTTTTTTAAGATTTATTTTTATGCATGTAGAACTGGGGTACAGGCTAGAGTGGGGGGGTGAGGCGATTCACAAGAGACAGAGTGGGGAGCAGAATAGGCAGGTTGACAAAGTACACTCCTGAGGGGAGTAACGGGTGAGACAGGAGAGGTCTGCCTCACCAAGAGGGTTGGGGGGCCATCTCCCTGGCCAGGGATCGAACTCATGATACAGTGGTTGCTATAATTTCACAGTGCTGTGCTTTAACATGTTGTGCCACCAGGGAGGGCCCACAATTAGCTATTTTTGGCTACAAAGGAAGAGAACCGTAGTTCAACAGTCGAAGCCTCAGAAAAACTGGTCCTTCTGCTCCCTGTTCTATGGCATCAGTTCA